GTGTGTGTGTGTGTGTGTGTGTGTTTGTAGGTGTGTTTGTAGGTGTGTGTGTGTGTGCATTTGCATATGTGTGTGTGTCTGGACCGTCTGTCTGTTCCATTGAGTAACCTTGGTGTTATTGGCTCTACTATAAGACTATAAAACATCACAATACTGTAGGAATGTCTCAAACGACTGAGGTTTTCTAGCTTCACCTCGTTTAAACAGACTTTATTTTACCATTTAATGCACGTTTTGGGACACATTGCTCTGCTTTTTTTGCTTAAAATAGGCTTTATGTGACTTTAATAACGGGATAATCAATAATAAAGGATCTTCTTGGCTTCAATGCTAATAAAAAAAGCTTTAATTGTCTCCAAATTTACCCCGGATCGCGTTGTTGATGAAAAACAGTCAACACAATCTAATTCCATGTTGAAAAATGAAAAACATTATTTTGATCAAATTGAAAATTACCTCACCACACAACAGATCTCTATGTTTAGGTATAGTGTGAAATGTTACGATACTTGTGCCAACATCACATCCAAGTCCTACCAACACCTACAGTATGTATCTTGCAATCCTATAGTCTTTGCCAAAGTGAGTAAGGATGTGTTTGCAAAAAAAGCTGGGCAATGACTTTGCCTAAATATATTACGATGAACAATTGTCATAATGAAGATTTAAAATCCGAACAATGTCTGAAAAAGTAACCCTAACCCTAACCCTAGCCCTAACCCAAACCCTAACCCTAACCCAAACCCTAACCCAAGCCCTAACCCTAACCCTAACCCAAACCCTAACCCTAAACCCTAACCCTAACCCTAACCTTAGCCCTAACCCTAGCCCTAACCCAAGCCCTAACCCTAACCCAAACCCAAACCCTAGCCCTAAACCCTAACCCTAACCCAAACCCTAACCCTAACCCAAGCCCTAACCTTAACCCAAACCCTAACCCAAACCCTAGCCCTAACCCTAACCCTAACCCCTAACCCTAACCCTAACCCTAACCCCAAACCCTAACCCAAACCCTAGCCCTAACCCTAACCCTAAACCCTAAACCTAACCCTAAACCCTAGGGTTAACCATAACCCTAACCCTAATGTCCAATGTCAAGCAAATATAAGTAAAGAAGAATACAGATCAGAGGAAACAACAAAGGCTAGCATAAGAAGTATTTCCGTCTCTTCCCGTCTGGAAGCATTTTTGCAAGAGAAGAGATTTTTTCTTGAGCCAAGAAGGTGTTTTGCATCTGTCTTCTTCAGGTTTGCTGTATATTTATGAAGTTGCATGCAAAATATGTTGCACACTCCAAAAAAGATCTCATTTTTAGTTGAGGAAAATAACGCTTTAAATCATAAATTGTTGCATCTGTCAAAAACAAATCTTTACATTTTTCCTTATCAACAGGAAACGGCACATTTCAGTTATGCCTGTCACTATTAAATAATGCAAATATTAGAAGTACTACTTGTAACTTGTTAAACAACGTACCATAGCCAGTATAACAGCTTTTAAAATACTACTTAATGAGGGACAGATCCCACTTCACACCCGTCTATAAAAGAGCAGGAATTATGAAAACCGACGTCCAATTACAGACGAGCTCGAGCTGATATTCTGTGATGGGTTTACCAGGCTCAGGCTCTCGGCCCTCACTCTAACAGGCCATAATTAAACCCGAAGAATAGGTTGTTAAAGGATAAGTCTTTTCTTTTTTTCATACTTAAGAAGATTTTCTGATTATTCACGCTGAAACAGATGTGCTTGGAGTTCGTAGAAAAGTCATCTGGGTTTGTTGAGCTGTGAGGATTATTTTTTATGAGAAGAAAGCAGCTGAATAGAGGGGTTTAGGGGTCTGAGGTTTGTACACTTTAAAATAAATACAAAATGAAGGTAAAGGTGATTCTGCTCTCACGTCATCTCATCAGGAGCTCTTTCTCAAATCTCGTGCTGGCTTACATTTCTAAAAGTCGTTCTAAAACTTGTTTTAACTTTGTGTTAGCTAAAATAATATTTATAATGGGGCAAAAACGTGTCTAAAAGTCAACTCGCTCTAACTTCCAGACAATGCTTTGATCTGTGAGTTGATGGATTGATTCTTGATTCTGAAAGAACCATAATGGCTTGGAATCGGGGCTTCAGCTTCCTCAATTTCCTCTGGTTATTTTAGCAATCTCAGAACCAAATTACTGTCAAAATCTCCCCAATTATTTCTCACCAAAATTGATATCTGAAACCCCTTTTTTCCGTTAGTGTCCAAAGTAACCGACTTCATTTCTATGTCATGGATAATGATGATGAAGCATTTGTGTCTGGGAAAACATTGACATTTTAAATCAAGATTAATTTGCACGTTGATTTCTTTGAAAGGCTAACTTTTTCCTTTGATTATTGACTTTAAGGTCTCGTTAGGGTTTGGATCATTTAGCAGCTAAATCCACCTAATCACAGAAAAATAAATGGACTTCCAGTAATAAACTGAGTGGGCTTTCTGCTCGTACACCACTGGTCTCTCAGGGAGGATAACATAAACTCAAGACTAATTTGTATGATGTAATCCACTGTAAGCGCAAAGGGCAAACAGCTTGAACTACATGTAAATGATTTAAAAGGAAAATCCCCTATCTATTGTTCAGGAGCTACCATTACAAACTCTTGAGTGCTATTCATCTAGAACACTTTAATATCACCAAATAAAACACTGTTAAACACCTGAACTAGAACATCCATAACATTCACCTGTTTGCAAACTTAGAAATGATTTATCTAATATATTATATATTCAAATGACTTGTATATAGACTCTGATTGCACTATTTATATTCTATTTGTATTATCTGTGTTATTGTGTTGCACTGTTGGAGGAGCCTGTGACCTAAGATTTTCATTGTCATAACGACACTGTAGCTATGTACGAATGACAATAGAAAAGCCTTGTTGACCTTGCCTTGTTGATTTGAACGTTGAGATGATTTCTACCACTTATTGGACTAAGAGTGTGTTTGCTGGACCTACCCGCCTTCGAAGATCTTGATGCGTGACGGTTCGGCGGATGGTTGTTTGGCCGAAACCTCCTTCTCTACTTGCTCCTCCTTCGAACGATCCCACGACACAACGCCCTTCATCTTCCTCCCAAAATGACTGACATCAACTGGCATCAACTCCGGTTTCAACTACAGGGATGTGACAAGACAAGGATGAAGAAAAAGAGAGGTGAGGAGAAGCATTTATCAACCTTTCACAACCTTTCCTGTGCTTGTGTTTCTCCATTGTTGCACCTACGAATTTACACATTAAACATGTTAAACATTTCTGCACAGCCCTCCAATTTAAAATATAACACACTGCAGTTCGTTATATATCGTCATATATGTATTTTAAGTTTTATAGTGGTTTTTGCTTCGATTGTATATTTACATTTGGTGTAAATACTTGTTTTTATTCTTTTTTAAAGTTAAATAGTTTAGTTTCGTTGTATCGTTATATGTTTGACCTCTTAAAATGTACTTTCTTGTGTTGTTTATGTTTGCACAAGCATACACCAAAGCAAATTCCTTGTATGTGTTAACGTACCTGGCTAAAAACTTGATTCTGATTCTGATATGATTCTGGTTAACATACCTGATCCAACCTCAGCTTCCAGGCCACAGACGACACCAGCTTTCCAGAGCTGGGAGGCGACATGGCTGCGGTTGAGTAAATCCAATCAGAGTCCCTCCTCTGTTTGGACCTCAGTTGGGCCAATGCAGCCTTGGTGCTGAGGTTCAGAGGATTGGGGTTGTATGAGCTCACATACCACGAGTTGTAGACAGAGTTGTGCAAGGTAGTTTGGGTGCTGTTGGGTTTGGTGTAGTTCAGGAAACACCAGCTGACTTTGCTCATAGTGCGCAGGCTTGGGAACTGGCAAAACTGCTGGACGTCGGCCACATCGGTGAGAAGCAGAGTCTGGCCCATCGTCTGGCCCATCGTCTGGCCCATCGTCTGGCCCATCGTCTGGCCCATCGTCTGGCCCATCGCTCTGGATAATCCTGCGCTTTGGTTGGCAGCTAGCTGAACTAGCATGTTAACAGGGACTTTACCGGGTTGATCTGTGTTGTCGGTGTCCTCGGCATCGTTGGAGGACACCATGAACTGGGGGCTGGAGCTGAACTCTGGGATCGAATCGTCCACATCGAGTTCCTCCGGGGAGTCCCGTCCACCTGAAGATGGTGAGCGATCTGTGACAATCTGAAGAGGAGGAGTGAAGCTCTCGGCCCGGGGAACATCAGACGGCTGGGGGGCAGAGGATCGGACAGGAATGGCAATCTTGGTGGCAACGGGGAAGTCACTTAGTGGAGGAGAAGAGGACATCCTTTCAGAGTCATCCATGGATCCCTCGCTCTTCAGACGGGCTCGCTGACCTCTGCCCTTTTCAAGCTTGCCACTGTTTTCACTTCCACTCAGCTCCACTGCACTCATCTCCTTGACTATCTGTCCATACATCCTCTCCTCCTTCACTCTTTTCTGCTGCTTAGTCTCGATGAAGAGCTCCAGAGAGCTGGTGGGGGAAAGCATGCGCTTGCTGCCTCCGATGCCAGATCCCGAGGCATCTGTGGTGGATATGGTGCCTGATGTTAGCGACAATGGGATTCCTGTGTTTAAGCGTTGCTCTGGTAGTGAATCTGGAGTCTTCCAGGGAGGGTAACGCAGCGCTGAACCATCAGTCTGTCCGAGGAAGTGTGATAGGTTGAAACCTGACCCACTTATGCCTCCTCCAATTCCTCCAGGTGGTTTGCTGAGACTTTGCTGAGACATGCTGTTGTTGTCAGCACCACCAGGCCTACCCCCTTGTGCCCCACTTCCATGCATAGTCATCAGCTGGCTTACATTGGTGTACATAACACTACCATATGACGGCACATGTGTTTGGATCCGCACAGGAACCACAATACCAGGTAGAGCGGCATGGGAGCCCAGGTTTTGGGTAGCAAAGACAGGTTGGACCTGCTGCAGAAGCATGGAGGTGGTAGTGGTGCTAGGTAGTGAATGCTTGGAGGAAACAGAAGCAAAGTTCTGCTGGGACATGGGAGAGGTGCGAGATGATAAAGAGGCAGCGTACATCTGAGGACTTGGGCTTTCTGATTTCCCGTCATGTGGCTGCTGATCGTGGATCTGCTGCAGGGAGTGGAGTGGTGGTTGTTTGTGCAGCGGGTGTCCAGATACGGAGCCTGGTGATCTGATGTGGAGTTTTTGCAGTTGCTGCTGGGCCTGGAGGGTCAGCTGCTGTCTGGATGCCTGACCGGCCTCCTGACCCCAGTAAATCCCTGGTTGCTGGTAGGAAAGATATGGAGGACCACTCTGGTAGTGCTGGATAACTTCCTTATTCATGACTTCATGACATTGATATTCTCCTTCAGATGACGAGCCCTGAGCCTGCAGGCGATGCTGATGGGACCTATAACGGAGAAAAGATTGAATACTCAAATGTTCCTTCAAATCAAGTACAAAAGAAAATGTAATAGTAGAACCAGTTTGAGATGTAGGCAATTGCAACTGTTGAGTACCGCCAGTTATGAATGAATTTTGTTTGCATTTCACTTCACAGCTAATTCATAAAAGCACTATCAGTTATTTGAGGGTTTAGCAAGGGAACCCATAATGCTTTACCTGGCATAGAGAGGTTCATCCTGCAGGCTGTCCTCGCTGATACTCTGCTGAAGGAGGTGCTGATGATGCTGTTGGTGTTGGTGAGATCCAATACCTGTGCATAGAACATAACAGTTAAAACCCACACTCCCATAATGAAACAACTAATTGAGTAGAATGTAGTCTTAGTCAGTAATGTAATGGCTAGAGACTGGATGGCACAGTTTAATGTGTAATGCAAGGCTTACCAGCAGTGCTACTGCCAACTCTCTTGGTTCTGCCGGGTATATCGCTGCTGCTGTGGGGGGATCCTGATTGGCCGGGCCATGCCCCATGTTCCAGAACCTCCTGTTTGATCGACATCTCAGCACCCACTGGTTCCTGGACCACTGCCTCTGGATAAACACTCAGTGAAGCCTGTCAAATGTATGTGGACGCAGGGACATTGGTCAGTTATTATGGAATTACAGTATAAAGGCCTCGATGTAGGTGAAGTCCCAGTGTGAAGATATAGTGTGAGAACAATTAGAGTAAGTTGGTGGGACCTTACAAAGACCCATTTTCCTTTACCCTCTAGGTCAAGTGCTTTGAGGCTGTTATAAATCAACACAATAAGTCGTTCTCTTGATAACAAACTTACGAATCCTAACAGGCCATAAGACTGTTAAACACCTGCACTTTTGAAAGAACATCCATAACATTAATCTGTTTGCAACTTATAAATTATTTATCTAATATATCATATTCCAATTACTTGAATAGACTCTTATTGCACTATTTCAATTTGATTTGTATTACCTTGCACTATTTGATCTGTTATCTGTTTTATTGTGTTGCACTGTTGGAGGAGCCTGTGAGCTAAGATTTTCATCGACATAACTTCACTGTAGCTATGTACGCATGACAATAAAAGCCTTGAAACCTTGAAACCGAAGATTTACAATAGTAATGCTACCTGTCGGACAAGATACCCTCGCCGGCGTTCCTTCATTGCAGAGGCACTCGAGTATATCTCTCCTTGTCTCGAGGAGGACAAGCTTCCGTAGTCGAACGATTTGCTGCGCATTTCAGGAAACTCTGTGGGCAGCGTGCATGGTGCCTGCTCCGATGAAGACCTCCTCATCTCCCTCTGCTGGTGGTGGCTGGAATGACCACTGCCAGGTACCGTCAGGAACTCCGACTGCTTTGGTCCACCACCAGAAGTCGAAGAATCATCCTGGATCAGAATCAAAAAGACAATTGGTCAACTTGGAATTCAAATATTAAGCATATAATGGACCGGCATCGAGTGGACACAGGTACATCTCAACGAAAACACGCCTTTCTGCTATCCGGGCTCTAAACTCAGAACAACAAGAAAAGTGCTGACATATTCACTTCAAACAAGCAGAGAGTGTACACATGTTTGCAATCTGAAACCTACCTGTTTTGCTTGTACCTTGGACACAAAAAGATTTGCAATGGTCTTGCTTGTTTGAAGTAAATATCTAAGCACTTTTCTTGTTGTTCTGAGTTTGAATCCTGAGATTGCACTTATTGTAAGTGGCTTTGGTCAGAAGCGTCAGCTAAATGCAATGCAATTGAACGTAATTGAATGGGGTACCTGTTTGGTGGGTGAGGCAGACTTGAGGCCTTCCTCTCTGTCGAAGGACATGGAGAAGGAAGAGGAGTGGGAAAGGTTACTCTCCTGACTGGGGCTGCGAGAAAGACTGGTGCACGTTGACTCGAAGCTGGATTCCCCTGATGAGTGCTCCATATCCGCCAGGCGCAACCTCTTCTTCTTGGGCGGTAGCTTTTCCGATGGCATCTGGGCGAGGGTATCACTCCTCTGTGGCAGCTGGAACTCCTCCACATGCTGCGGCTGCTTCTCCGGTTCCTTCGTCATTGGAGATTCGGTATCTTTATCCTCCGTAACCCTGATCTCAGGAACTTGGATGTTGGGTTGTCGGACTAGCTTGGGCGGGACTTGATAAGGCTGGCCAGGGGATGGTGCAGCTGACGAAGATGAGAGGGAGGCCTGGTCGCTGTCACGCTCTGTACTCTCTGCCCTAAGCAGTAGGGCGGATTCAGGACTTAAAGCATCCTCAAAGATATCTGTGTCAGATTGTTCAGAGTACTGGCTAGATAGAGCTTTCTCCGAAGGCTGATATCCTGGATGCTCAAAGGACTCTGACTTCTCAAAGGAATTTGGCCGGCTGAGGGAGTTGGTGTGCTGGATGACTGATATGACATTCACAGCTGCCTTCCTGCCCTCAAAGTCAGGAAATAATGCATTGTCCTCAGAGCACATGCTGGCACAGGTGTCAAAGCTGTCGGACTGGCTGTGAGCGCTGTAAAGAGAGCCCTTTCCTGTTGGAGTTCCCCTCGACCCATCAAAACTACCCTGTCTAAACTCGCAGTCCCCTATCATCTCCACTGAACCACTACAGCTACTGTCGCAGTGCCCGGGGCTGTCCTCTTCATCACCAACACTCTTCTCTTTCCTCCTTTTTCTTGTGGCTATTTCTGACATGCTAATTTTAGTACCATATGGGCTGTAGGAAATGTGCTCAGGGACTCCTGGGTTGCGCTCAACTAGCTTCATACCCAGAGATGAAGCTATATTCTTGGGCATGTGTCCAAAGCCCTCAGCCTCCCCTACGTGGGCTTCATTGGCTGAATGTTCAAATGCAGCCTGCCTTGTCAGTCTGCGCCCTGGTGGGTAAAACACATCATCCGGCGCCATCATCTCATCAAATGAGTGACTGCCTCGAATTGCTGAGGGCACACTTAGGTTAGAGGGGGAGGATGTTGGCATGGAGTTACTCCTAATAAGGTGCCCAGAATCTGATGGAGGCTCGAGAAGGCCTGTGCTGCTTTGACAGGGTCCTGTTGGATACTGCTTGGGATCTCCAGAGACTCCTACATCTCCCCTGAAACAGATGTGATCCTCAGCTATCTTCCCCATATCCATAATAGCACCTGATTGCTTTAAGCTAGTGAGGCTGCTGGGGTCTGCGCCTGCCATGCCAACTGCAATAGACTGTCTGGATCTGGAGTCGGGTCGGCCGTACCAAGTCCGACCAAACATAATCTCTTCGTACGTCTTGACATTATTATTCGGAGGGCTGATCTGCTGCTCTGCACTTTCAGAGCGGGAAAAGTATCCAGAGTCTGTGCTGCCCTTGCTGTGAGGACTGAGGAGGTTTAAGGACTGGGACATGATAGAGTCCGAGTCCTGACCCTTCTTCTCATTTATCCTCAGGGCCAAACGTTGTTTGATGGTAGGGGAATCATCCAGTGAATGCGCTCGTATGCCAGCGTGTGATGCCAACATGTGGTGTGAACCCTTTACGTCCTGAAAGGGTGGGCACTCCATTCCTGTGGAGGGTACTCCCCCAGCCTTGGGTACAATAAGGATAGGCACTTTCATAGCCACAAGCAGCTCTTCAGCTTGGTCTGCATATGCCGGCTCCCCACCACCTACACAATGGGAAAGAGTGGAGCATGACAAAGAGAAGAGTAAACAGATTAGGATTGTCATAAAACATTATGCATTTAAGACCTCTAAATCTATAGAATACACTTTGATGAGTCCTGAGAACTTCATGCATTTTAAGATTTGTGATGGATGATTCTTAAGGTTACCTGTATTCTTGTCAGCTTCAAAGGGGATCTGCGGGATGGGGCTGTCTTTGTCCGTCAGCATGGTGGAGCCCTCCAAACCTTCCTCATCGGTGTCGGTACTCTGCTCCCCGTCTGAGTGGACCTCGGCATCCCCCCCTGGAGACGCCTGGTCCATGTCCCCACCGCGAGCCACAGCTAGCTCTGAGAATGGCACAAGTCCAGCCTTGATGGCATGAGCGTGGGACTTGCGATGCTTGTAAAGGTTGCTCTTGGTTTTGAAGGAAAAGCCACATGGTACACATGGATATGGCCTCTCTCCAGTATGGGAACGGATGTGCTTCTTCAAGACGCTAGGCTTGGCGCAAGCTCGTCCGCAGTAGTGACAGATATACTTACCGGGCTTTTTGGGCTTCAGCTCTTTTTTGCTGTAGCCCTCCTCTCCAGGCTCAGGGCCCGATTGAGAATACTGTCCGAAGGAGCTGGGTAAACTGGGAGATTTCTGGCGGGGAAACCTCCCTGCCCCAGCCCCATGAGGATGAGTGTGTCCCGGGTGTCCTACAGGGTACAGATCATCCGAGGGCAACTGGCCAGCAAAAGGCCAGGCATGTGGCTCTAGACCTGGCTGGGGTTTGGCTCCTGACAGGAAGCGCTCAGGCTGGGGGTGCTGAGGGTACGGCTGGCCCAGCTGGTAGGAGTATCCCCTTGGGAACCCGTGTGCAAAGTGCCCTTGGGGGTCTTGAGATGGTGGGCCTCCCATGGCTCCAACTGCAGAAGGTCCTGATAGCAGCTTCCCAGAATTCCCTGTAATTGCGTACTTCTGTTGGGGCGCTGATCCAACCGTGGCACCACACGGCAGACTCTCACGGTGTTTGGAGTCCGGGTCAGCAAAAGTGCTTCGTTTTGTGTTAGCAGAAGGCTCGGATGCCCACTTTCTTTGAAGAGTTGCCTTCTCCTTCACTAGGTCCTTACCTGGGCCTCTCTGCCCAGCTGATTCATGAGCCTCCATTTTTGTGAAGCTCTTCCGGGGGTTAGAAGAGGAAGGAGGGAGGGGCTGGTGGGGGAGTTGGGAGGGTTTTCAAGGGTTACAAGGTCCCAAAACTACCAGGCATGATAGCTGAACCTTTGATGGCTGCCAACACGTTCACAGAAACAGGAAGTACCCGTCCATTGCAGAAATAGACTGGAAAGCCAGGCTTAGTGGATAACATCAGAAAGGTCTCTCTCCTTTTGCCATTTTGTAAACACTAATGTTGCCGTGCGTTGTTTTTCTTTCCAGTTCATCCAAAGACAGAAGAATCCTTGAGTAATCTGGAGAGGACACAAACAGAAGAAACACATTTGTAGCCTTGTGGAGTGCATTTTCAATGAGTAGTGTATTTATTAACCATTCAACCAAAGTTACCAACATACTGAATTTGATCAAAGGGGAAATACTAACTTTTTCTTCAGGGAAAAGTGTTTGGAGATCCTCTTTCTTTAGCTTCGGAGGTCATCCAGTTTCTCAATCAAAGACCTGCACCAGAACAAAAGAGAGAAAGCCAATTAGTTCTGCTATCCGTATTGTTCCAATAATACAATACAAAACTCAATGATGGTACAGAAACAAGTTAACCTTAAGACACCTCGTCTTACCATAAGTTGGTTTTGTGTTGTACAATGAGACGTAACATTTTGGTAACACAAACAACATACTTTGTTGCGCAGAGAGTACTGATTAAGTTGTCGTGCCTGATGTGCAAAAGTAAATGTCATTGATTGCTCAGTTACATTCTTCTCACAGGAATCCATCTGTGCTTTCTGCCTTTTCCACCCCTTCCTCCTGCCTCCCTCCCTCCCTCCCTCCCTCCCTCCCTCCTCCCTCCACTCAGTGAGTCACCGTTGCAAAGCAAACCCACGCTGTTCCTAAAAAGACACAAAGGCTTATAAATAGCGCTTGTGGAAGTGACGTCGGTGTGTCATAATGTGTGTAGGCGTCCAAAAAGGCCAAGTCGAAGAGCAGCCATCAGCGCTAGCACCTTCCCTTCCTCTCTAGGTGTTAAAGTTTGATTGGTATGTTCTCGTTCAAAGAGCAAGAGAACACACACACACACACACAGAGAGAAAGAGACACACACATACGTAGATTGGATACTCGCAGGCATTGCAACTGCACTGCAAACACTGCAGTAAACAGGGGATATGTGTGAATTTCCGTTGTTTAACGTTTCTTTACCACACAACACCTGACAGCAGAAAGCCGCAGAGTACACACACACACACACACACACACACACACACACACACACACACACACACACACACACACACACACACACACACACACACACACACACACACACACACACACACACACACACCTGCTGAAGTTGCATTTTCTCTTTGTATTTCCTCATCTTAGGGTTTAAAAAAAAACTCCCACTGATTGCGACACACATTCACATCTATATACACACACACACACACACACACACACACACACACACACAGTGCGGACTCTGTGCTGGTAAGCAAGCCTCAATGACGTTTGCGTCTAGGGGCCCAACGTGAGATCCATAAATAGCAATAGAGGAAAACAAGCTGCATTCGTAGAAGTAGGAATGTTAACTTTGGGCTACCTTGTGTTTTTCACGTTCACCCCCATCTACACACACACCAGAAACATTATCTCAGACCTGGGTCATATTTTTCTGTTTTCCATGGTGTTAACAGTTCAAGAATGTGTTTGGAAACCCAAAGGACTGAAAGAAACATCAGTTTCCATTCAACAAAGGATCATTGGTTTGTAGGAGGGTCAGCTGACAGGCAAATGTGGACAATCTGTGGACTTAGAGGCAAAGTGTGCATGACAACTTTGTGTCTGGTATGATTCCCTAAAGGATGAAACACACCAGTATCGTAGCTTCATGTCCTATGTGTCATCTAACACTTGCAGCACGTATCAGATGTAAGACACAGGATAAACGTAAAGGTATAATAGCTGGTTTATGCCAACAAAGGGAGCAGAGGAGTGAGGCCAGGTTGGAAACACTTGGAAAATTGGGCAACTATTTAAAAAAAACATCCGGATTCCGCTTCAAATCATGATTGTACGTTGATTTTTGTGTGCACCAGCATTGCTTTATGTTAGGCTTCCTGTCGTCTGACACCAGCAGGAAGAATTGGAAGACTCATCCGGGACATTAACCCTTAAAAAACCTCTCCCCTACATCTGGCACTGATCCAGGTTGATGATTCCAGATTGCTGTATTCGGTAACCCAAACATTTCTTGGCATTCATACAATGATTTTTGGGTTACCTCATCTAGAACCATGGTACATAGGGTAGGGTTTAATTTAATATGGCTTTTCTTAGATTGAAGTGCAGCTATTTCAAATAAACAACTACTTTCCCAATGGCTGCAACAGGAAACACCCAACCTTTGTATTTCCAATACCAATAATTCACCCAATTTGACCAAATACATTGCTTCTGCCAGCTATACCCTCTTTAAAAGTGTATTTTGTGCACACCCAAGCTGACTTCAACCACCAAACGTCTATATAAATACATGGAGTCTAAAGCTTGCCTGACCAAAATAAGTCTAACTTCTTTGTTATTTCATCAACAGACACATTAAACTACCTTATCACTGATTTCTGTCTACTCAAGTTACTGTCACTCCATCACACACACCTCAACAGCTATCTGACCTCCTGACACACACACACACACACGCACACGCACACGCACACGCACACGCACACCCACACACACACACACACACACACACACACACACACACACACACACACACACACACACACACACACACACACACACACACACACACACACACACACACACACACACACACACACACACACACTTATGATAACCTTGTAGAGAGACTGACCTTAAAGCTTGCAGATAACTCAGTTAAACCCCAGTTTAACCTTCTGTAAGGTTGACTGGTTTTGTAATGAAAGTGTTGAATGACGGCAGTCTGCAGAGTTAGTGGGAGTGTGTAGTGAATGGCTTACATAAAACTTTATTCATACACAACCTGCTCCAGTTCCTGTGCGTGGGAGATAGACATCGCGAGTGTGTATGAGCGTGGGAAGTGTGTGTGTAGGCTGGTAAAGGGCATGACGACACACCCAAGTTGTAGGTAGGTCAGAACAAGTTGCATTCAGAGGCTATACTCAGAAGTAAAAATAGTGGAGCACACTGAAACGCTCACACAAAGTGATTTGTCAGAATGCTTTAAATAACCAGAGTTACCTAACGTGAAGGAGCAGAGATCAGATCAGCTTTCATAGACATGGAAATAGATCTCGCTGGTGCTTTATACCCACGGCATCCTTTTCTTAGAATAACAGACCTTTCTTTTTTGTGTCCATGTGTAGGTGAGTGATCTACAACGAGTCCTGAGTTATCCAACCAGGTGTGATCAACGAGTTTTTGGCATCTGACCACGCGATGCTGCGAGATGAAGTGGATTACAAACTCCTCCATGGTTTCATTGAATAACCGCTGCCTTGCTCATGGTTAGGTTCCAACTCAGAGTCCATTTAAAGGCCTTGAAGAGTTTTAAAGGTCTTCGGGAAACCATAAATAAGACTCAACAACGCCCGGGAATCACGGTCACGGATTCTTATCCTGATCTGATTTTATGCATTGCATTAACGCACATCCTAAATGTCTCCATGCGTACATTTCTTATTGTTCAAACCAATTGACACTAATTTGTATATTCCTGCACACATTAAGCATTCTCTTATTTAGATAACCTCTAAAGGAGAACCTTGTTGGATCCGATAGCAATAAAAACCCATTCTTTCTCAAGCTTCGGGCTGTTTAGGAAGAATCCATTCAGTCTTGTTTGTCCCATGGTGGCCTTTCCAAAACACCAGTTCCTCTTTTAATCCTGCACAACCATATCTCTGCATTTCTCAGTGTCCCAAATGTTCTTTAGACCTCTTGTGTTTGACAATACAGATGTTGATACACAGGAGATTCAAGATAACTGAGGTGCATGCAGGTATGAACAATTACACACACACACACACACACACACACACACACACACACACACACACACACACACACACACACACACACACACACACACACACACACACACACACACACACACACACACACACACACACACACACACACACACACACACACACACACACACACACACACACACACGCCCAAACCATGGAGGTATGAATACTGTGTGGGCATTAACCATGCAGTACGAACAGAAGGCAGTGTGTGTGTGTGTGTGTGTGTGTGTGTGTGTGTGTGTGTGTGTGTGTGTGTGTGTGTGTGTGTGTGTGTGTGTGTGTGGGAGGCTGTTCACTTCTTATTGGGCCGACGGCAGTCTCTCTCTCTCTCTTTCAATTCATGTCCTCCGGCTTTATCGGACTGACAGAATACTGTTGACACTTCCCTACTTGTATCATTATGAGTGTGTGTTTCAGTTGAGTATTGTCAGGCATTTATCTCCCTTGACACACACACACACTCACGCACGCACACACACACACACACAATCCCTCCCCTACAGTGTCTTGTTCAGATATGCAGTAGATAAGCCTCCCGTTTACTTTCAATGAAAGGCCCAGACGAGGGCAGAGCTCTGTGTGTGTGTGTGTGTGTGTGTGTGTGTGTGTGTGTGTGTGTGTGTGTGTGTGTGTGTGTGTGTGTGTGTGTGTCTGTGTGTGTCTGTGTGTGCGTGCGTGTGTGTGTGCGTGTGCGTGTGCGTGTGTGTGTGCGTGTGTGTGTGTGTGTGTGTGTGTGTGTGTGTGTGTGGTGGCTAGTTATTCTTAAATTGGCCTGCCAGGGTGCCACATACCAACTGGAATGGTTTGCATTCCTGTGACACAAAAACAGAAGGAAAGTAACTGTGTGTGTGTGTGTGTGTGTGTGTGTGTGTGTGTGTGTGTGTGTGTGTGTGTGTGTGTGTGTGTGTGTGTGTGTGTGTGTATTGCCCTGTATGTCACCTTCTTGCACATGCAGCATATATTACCAATCCTTAAACCACAGGAAGGACACAAATAAGGGAACAAGGACACAAAAGAAGAAGGTGAGTCTAAGAGTCTAAGGAGGAAGAGTACTAGGGCACAACAAGAAGACAGAAAACCGTAAAGTGAGGAAAAAGAACAAATACAGAAAACATGGATAGAAAAGAGTAAGGAGTAGAGGAGGGGACAAGGACACAACACAGATTTAAAAGTGAAGAAATTAGGAAACAAAGACCGAAGAAAGGACACAAACTAGGAAACAAAGACACCTCAACAATACCCTTTTAGTCAGAGAGGATTAAGGAGACGCATTATGGACTGTGGGTTTTGAAATGGGACGTAGCCCGTGAGGATGAAAGTCATGCCAGCTCAGATCAGGTTACTCAACCACCACTATCGTATACCAAGTACATGTATGCATGGATTAAACACACACACACACACACACACACACACACACACACACACACACACACACACACACACACACACACACAC